GAAGATATCACGTTAGATATTGGAGTTTAACCAAGAATCTATCTGTACTCAAGTCTCCTAAGATCTGGAGCACAGAGGAAAGATAAGTGAGGGGCATCAAGACAATCGCACAATTGTCCTGCTTATCAGTTTGTGGTGTATTTATCCTGGGTCAGAAAAACCACTGTGTATGTTGGTATTTGGCAGATTGCTTAGAGCAGCTTTGTCTGATCGAAATGTAATAAGAGCCACGTGTATAATTTTAAATTTTCTTGTAGCTTCTTTTAAAGAAATGGTAAAGAAACAGGTGAAATTAATTTTAATAATACATTTTGTTTAACTCAATGTATCTAAAATATTATCTCTACATGCAGTTCATAAAATTTTTTTTTGTGTTAAATATAATTATTTTTTGGTATTAAATTGTTGAAATTGAGTGTGTATGTCACACGCCACATCTCAACGCAGGACTAGTCAACATTCAAGTGCTCCGTCACCACTTGTGGCTCCTGTATTGGATAGGCAATTTTAGAATATATTTTAGAATATAAAGTATGGTGCTTTTAACACTTTCACCCTTTTGCTCTGGGGCCTGTGGAACATTTTTGGCCTTAATTATTTGCATCTTCAGTAATTAGGCCATTCAGTGATTATTAGTATAATTTTTATTCTGAAGAAATGCTTTTTAGGAAGTATCATGAGCATTGATTATGGACCCTGAAGAAAATGATTGGTCTCTTTTTTTCCTCTGTGAAGTGGTATTAATACTGTTTTTGTAGAAAGAAAACCAAATAGGGACTTACCTGGTGGCGCAGTGGTTAAGAATCCGCCTGCCAATGCAGGGGACACGGGTTCGAGCCCTGGTCCGGGAAGATCCCACATGCCGCGGAGCAACTAAGCCCGTGCGCCACAACAACTGAGCCTGCGCTTTAGAGCGCGTGAGCCACAACTACTGAGCCCGCGTGCCACAACTACTGAAGCCTGCGTGCCTAGAGCCCGTGCTCCGCAACAAGAGAAGCCACCGCAATGAGAAGCCTGTGCACCGCAACCAAGAGTAGCCCCCGCTTGTTGCAACTAGAGAAAGCCCGCGTGCAGCAACGAAGACCCACAACGGCCAAAAATAAATAAATAAATTTATAAAAAAGAAAACCAGATAGGTTTCATTATTTGAGGGCTACCTGTCAGACAGTTTAACTACCTTCCACTGTTTAATTGTCACAACCAGTCTAGGATGTAGATGCTATTGTTCCGCATTTCAGCTGGGAGGAGTTTGAGCCTCAGAGAGGTCAGGTAAATTTCCCAGGATCACTCCCACAGGTTAGTATGGTAGTGCCAGGACTCCACCTAAGAGTGCCTGCCCCCCGGGTGCAGAGCCATCCTCTCCCCTCACGCCTCTGTTCCCTCTGTTCCCAGGGCTGTGCTGGTGAAGACCAGGTTAACGCTTCATCATTATGCGCGCTTCTTCAGAGATCATGTCATAATGAAAGTGACAATTGAGCATCATAACTAATGACAGTTGGGAAAATGCATTTTTCCAGTAGAGAAAGTTCCGTTGCTTATTTTTCCTGTGATAACAGAATTAACCGTTTATCCCAATTGTCAGGACAGCTCTTAATTTTTAGCAAATGGCTAGGGCTGTGTGCCTGTCCTCTAGATTAAACCATTTGCTTACCTCCTGCAATTGTAAAAGGCTTAGCGAGGCTTATAATCAAAAGGTTCAAAGTTCTCTACTTGATCATCTGAAGATGGGTCTGTGCTACAATAAAAGAAAAATAATGCCATAAGCTGTAGGTATAGGGCTAGAACAAGAGTGTCTTTCTTTTTCTTCTTGATCATTTCTGAATTTTTATAGATGCAGTTTAATTTTATTGCTGTTATTCTTTTGTTGGAACTTATCTATTAATTCTTCCCATTCTTTAGTTTTTGAAGTGCTTTCCACATACTCTCCCTATCCTTTCCTCTATTGTCACTTTTCTCTTTTTCTTCCTTTTTTTCCCCTCTTTTTTCCTGGAGCGAATGGGGGGACAAAATGGATAAATATATTTTTTTGATATATATTTCTACTCATCCTCTTATAGTTTTCTTTCCTAGGGATTTGCTGTTTTTAAAGGCATTTAAAACCTATGCCTTAATTTTCTTCTTCCTTACATTTGACTTCAATTGTACTGTTTTACCCGTTTTCATTTCTCTTGTCATTGTCACTAGTAACTGCATCTATTGTTCCTGCCTTCTTCTTCTTTTGTAAAAATTGCGTTTCATTGTAAAGATTTCATTGTTTAGGTTGCTCCAATTCTACTAAAAAGGTACATTTTTTAGTCATTAAATATAACCTGTTTATGATCGTTTTTGGTATCACATGTATATGTGCTTTCCGAACAGATTCTGTTATCATACACTTCTGATTAATACTGTTTTGTTTTATAAATGACTTCAAAGTCCTTTTTTTTCCTTCTTTTTTTGAAAGTAGGCGATTGCCTGTGAGGGACTGGCGCTTGCGTTTTGGCTGTGAGGAGTTACTGCTGTCACGTACTAACAATTGCTTCCTTTACTCACTGAACTAAAATATTTAGGAAATATTTTGGTCATTGCCATTTTCAAAACATAAATCTCTACATGGTATAGATCCTTGTGCTTTAGTATTGTATTTCATCTCTAACTCATGAACTGTTAATATTACTAAAAAAAATTAATGGGGTCTTAAATTTTTTCACTTGACCATAGACTTGAGGAAGATTTATGGTTCCTAAGTAATGGATACATGATAGCTTGTGGAGCAACTGGATTCATTTAAAGATCTTATCTGTGATTCCCAGATGAGTGACGCTTAGATGTTGACATTAGGAACTGCACGTGGATTTTCGGCATTGAAACTTATGTACACACAGGTATTAGTGGTGAAGTAGCTTATGGCACCACTGACTGCACCGCCTTATGTGTGCTTACGTTTAAATCATTAAAAAGAGAAATCAACCTACTTCCTTGGACAAAGATCATATACCAGTATGTAAGAGTTAAAAGGTCTAAATGGGGGCTATTCCCTGCTGGTAAGGACTCTCACGAATGGGTCCTATAAAATGCCATTATGCTTGCTTAGGAAGATTTTACAACACTTTTCAACTGCATTGAGGGCAGGAGCAAGGCAAGGCTTGTTTTCATTTGTATCACTGGAGCCACAAGGGATACCTGGCACACAGTAGGTGTTCAGGGAGTAAGAGTTGGATAAATGAATGACCACAGAGACAATTTGGAGGAAATCTATTTTATATTATTCACTACATGTCTTACATGCAATGGGGAGTAAAGCAGACATATAAGTAAATAAGCATTTGCTATGCCAGTGCTGGTCACAATTAAAAAAAATATTTTGTAAGGCACCACGTGGCTAGGCTCAATTCTCCTCTTTATGTAAAACAATCGGTCTGCTCCATCCTTATTTCCTATGTTCCGTGAGTCTATACCATAGATAGTATATGAGCAATGGACGATAATGCTGCTTTGTTGTTCCTTGGCGTGAACACTAAGTTAGTAGTTGTCCCAGGTCTGGTATTGTGTGGCTTGCTAGTCTGTCGTTCAGGCTTAGTAATAATTACCGTGATCTTTAATGATAACAATTCTTAATGAGTATTATTAATAATGATTATATTTAATAATTACATCCAACACTTACTATCTTTAATAATAATAATTAGCACATGGGAACCAGTTGCACCACTGTATTATCTTTAGCAGAAAAATCTAAATCTGTGACCTGGTAGTTTGCAGAGTATCTGTTCCCACCCTCTGCTTTCCAGATCAGAGTGAGTCAGGAGGCTTCTAGGGTCTGGACAACAGGGAGGGGCTTCTAGAGAAACTCCTCTGCGTTCTGTGTGTGAGAGGCCATACTTGCACGTGTCATTTTACACAGAGGTCTTATTTTTATTGTGAAGCGACATCATCATGAACAGCCCGTCTTCCACCTCCCCCATCTCTCTGCCTGCCCGCTCTTCCTTCATAACCTTTGATTTTTCTTGCACGAAGAGAAGACCTGGAGTAGATCCTCACTCCGTAACATACTAATTTGTGTGAATTATGTAGGGCAGAGTCCATGTTTATTACTCGTATGTTGGTAAAATTTTGATCTTCTTTTGCCATGGCTACGTTTAGATTTAAATACCTGTATGACTTTTTTAAAAAAATAAAAAACATTTTATAAAACACTTTTGGCAAATTAAACATTTTTTAGCTTTTCACATATTGATACAAAGGAGAGAAATATTTCAGTGACAACAGATTTCAACAGATTTTCAACTACACTAATTTGCTTTATTCTTTAGGGTAGTTTACTTCTTTTCTTTGAAAACCAAGCAGAGGTATTCCTTTCCAGTGATAACTGGTGTTATTATATAAAATAATATTTTTTTAAAAAGACAAAGTTTCATATTTGTATGTATATTTTGACATAAATGTCAGTTAAGACTTACATGAGCAGGGTATTTTCAGGTTAGTTGATGGCCTGTTTACCAGGATTTAGAAAAATAAAAGATACAAGAGGGGCTTCTTTTAAATTCCTATTGATTTTCTTGTACATATTCACATAATAGCTTAGGACCATTACTAGGTATCTTACAACATTTCTAGACAAAAGCAGATCTTATCTGAAAATACTAGTCCTGATTAATAGTTAATGATAGGACCATAGATACGAGGATGCTAGGATCTGGAAGGTCACTTTTATCTCACCTATGCTCCGGCTGTGAACTTGAGGTCTCTCAGTCAGGACACCTCTGATTGGTGTGGTCCACTTTTTAATGACTAGAATCTGAGGGATTCTGCCACTGCTCGGGGCAATTCTGCTGCAGTCTGATAGTAATAATGGACGGGGGGGAAAAAACCCCCACAGTTTTCCCATTAGGCGCATCTGACTAAGAGGCTTGTTTAATCCAAACCACTGTCCACAGATGATAACTGTCTCTTCCCTTCTCATGATGACTGGGGTTTGCTTTGTAATGTTTGTGTTTTGTTCTTGGGTTTTGTCCCTGCAGGTTTGATGATTCCGGTCTTTTGTGTGGTAGAGCAGTTGGACGGCTCTCTTGAATATGACAACAGGGAAGAACACGCAGAGTTTGTCCTGGTTCGCAAGGACGTGCTTTTCAGCCAGCTGGTGGAGACCGCGCTCCTGGCCCTGGGCTACTCCCACAGCTCCGCGGCGCAGGCACAAGGTATTCTCGCGTCTCCCCTCTCCTCCCCGTGCCTCGGGTGTGTCATGATTTGAGGAAGAGTGTGTTCCCCGAAATAATTCTCCAAACAGGGATCGGAGGAGAGTGGTTACATCTAACATCTTTCCCAAACAGTGAACAGCAGGATGTTTCATGGAGAGTCTGGTTTTCTGGTTGCATTGGGAAGCATTTGACCAGTACCTCTAGAGCTACCAAAATCCCATTTCAAGCCATCACTTGCATTTCAGAGTGATCATCATGGGTTTTTTTGCATTAATAACTCTTATTTTCTCTAAGTCCCCAAATCGGTATTCTCAGAGTGCTGAGACATTTGACTCCTAACTTATCCAAACTTTAATATGTGAATTATAAGCTTTCAGTTTTCTAAATTTATTTATTGCTTTGGGCCTGCCGCTTTTACACATTATGATCAGCTTTTAGTTAAATAGAAAAAAATGTATGCCTCTTATATACTGTACTTTTGTATCTTTGAAAGCCTCTCTGTAGTTCTGATGTGGTCCATTCATTAAAAAAAAAAAATGCTCAGTGTCTTTGTGATCAATTCATTTTACCTATTTAATTAAATATAATTAAATATTAAAATTGCATCATTATTTCAGTGTGAATTGTATAGCACTGGGGAATCCATTGTGAGCTTGTGTTGCCCATTGTTCTTTTATGCCAGATAATTGACAAAACAAATAGCAAAAAATCCCCAAACCTTGGAGAATGGGAAAATAAATTTTTGACCCAATGGAATGATGATCTTTGTTTTTTAGCTGAAATTATTGAACTGTATAGATTATGATAATGGTTAGAACTAAAGGATAGAAACAAGTGACTTCCAGATCTTGTTCCATATATTAATTTCCTTTATTACTGTCCTTACTTAACATTTGTGTATGTGCCATGGATTTTTGCTACTTTTTCAAATGAATTCCTCTTCATATACTTACTAAGAACTATTAGTCCAAGCCTCTATTTATTGAGAGAAGGAAGCTATGAGAGATTAAACAGTTTATAAAAAGTTACAAAATATGGTGACCAAGGACATGGAATTTAAATTCCCCAGCTCTTGACTCTGATTTTGTAATCAGATTATTACTGTTTAAAAAAAGTTTTAATTAAATATTCAAATTATATCTTAGTTCTACCAAGAAAGCAACTCATCTGAAACCAGGAGGTCAAGAATGTTTTTCCAGGGCCATGGATTGTTGTGAGTTGAAGTGCAGTCTGAATCCCAGCACTTGGCCTGTCTGGGTGCAGTAATACATACAGCTGAATCGTAGAGTCCACTGCTTTCAAAGCAGTGTGATAAAGGATGATTCATTTCCTTTCCCTGACAACTTTCCTTCTTGGGTGAGGGATTCAAGATTTGATCCCGAGCAAATTGCATAGTGGGCACCATTGCTTTTATTTCATGCTATGTACCTAAATGAAATAAAAGAATCCCCCCTCCTTCCCCCACCGTAAACTTTTCATGCCATTTTAGGGATATTTTTCTCTGAATGTAAAGGTCATTGTATCCCACTGCTTGCATCCTGGTGTGCCAGCTTCCTGTTTGACAGGGCTATCCATCTCAGTTAGCATGGCTGCTCAACACGCCGTGAGCTCACATGTGGAGCACAGAGCACTAAGTGGCCAAAATTTGATTCTTGGCACATGCTCAGGGAAGGGGCTCTCAGGAAATTTGCACGAGGGAGCCACACTGTTCCATTCAGTAGTGTGGACTGAGGGTTCTGCTCACCAAGGTGAGATCCACTAGCAAGAAATATGGTCTGCAGTGGAGGACTAAAGAAGAAAAAAGTCAAAAGTGAATATTTGCTTCCCCAAAGTTTTTGAAAACCACGGTTAAAAATGACTAAATATTACACTTTTTAAGAGTTGAATCAACATCCTGAAGGTGCTCTAGATCATGATATAGTTTATTTTGTAGGTAAACAAGGGTTTTATCGCTAGGTCCTGTACTATAATTTTACAGATGGGGAAGAAAATCACAGTTTGTTTATTTTGTTTTAAATTAGATTGCTGATCTCTGTTTTGGGTAAATGGAAAAACTTGGAATTGTTTATTTGGAAATGAATGTATTAGGTCTCTGTTGTCATTCAGATCATCACACTTGTGCATTTTGCTGCATATTTATTACAGACGAAACAGAGTGCATGATAAGACAGGTCGTTCATGTGCTGGAGAAACAGCAGAGTGGGAGGAATCTAGAAAAGGAGGCAGAACAAAATGTGACTGCATATCTGAGGCCTGAGGTTTTATGTGTCTAGTTTTTTGTTTTGTTTTGGTTTTATTTGTTTGTTAGTTTAGGTAATTCCCCCAAGATGGGAAAGTCATTGGGTGACCTGCTAGCAAATGCATTTGTGGCAGAGAAACTGAGTGTTTCCGAACCTCTTCTTCCTGTGTTGGAAAAGTTGGGCCAAAGTAAACTTCAGGGAGAGCTGGTTTCGTGAGCCTATTTTACAAATTGAGACTCTTGAAATGTGATTTTTCATTTTGACATGACCAGAAAAGGGCTTCAATAATTGAATTGGAATAGTATTCAGATTAGCAATATCATTATTTTGGAGTGATACTCACGTTCCAATGAGAGACAGCATACCCATGTTCTCGTGAGCATAGGATAGTCAGTTTCTTTTTCTGAGATGGCATTTCCTCCAGGTGAACTGAAGAGATTTTATTAAGAAAGAATATTTGCTTATAAAGAATGATAGAAATTCCACTAAAATGGAATTTAGGGGTTGCCAATCCTGCCCCCCCCTCCCCATTTTACTGTACCTTCTTTATTTGAAGGCAGATATTTGGACCCAAGAGAGGATAAGGGCACAAGATAATGTCATAAATCATGGGCATTATGTTTTTAACTGACCTAAACCCTCCCTATCCCAGAACACATACCATTTACTCTCTGTGATTCTCAAGGATATGAGATGCAGGATTCATCTGACCTGCTGTTTTGCATATGCAAAAAGCCTAAAGATGGCAAGCTCTTGGCTTTTTCTGGAATAGGTAGCCTAAAGTCTAATGAACAACAAGCACGTTTTATGTTATATGTTGAACTATGAGTCAATATATGTGGATCAAAAGTAGTCTTCCAGTCTTTTGGAAGAGGAGTATTAACCTAGGGAACTGCTCTGCAGTAACCCTCCCCCACTAAACTCTTCATTCCCTTTATTCGTCTTTCTTGTTTCCTTTTCATCCTTTCAGTTTTGCTCCATAATGCTTTTGGTAATAGTCATGGGCCTCTCTGCATTGTCCAGAGAGTTCTTTATCTCACTGATTAAGTAGCTATTTGTACTTACCAAGGTGGTTGGTGGACTCTGGGAGGTGGCAGTGATGGCAACGTGATTCCTCACTGTGTACATTTGACTTAATTTGTAAATGGGTATCTTTTTCCTGCTTCCTATTTAAAATTTATTTTAAAATTTATATTAAAATTTATTTTTGACAAGAAAATTTTATTTAAGAACAAACATGCTGAACAATAAATAAGCAAAAATCCTTTCTGGCTGGTTATTTTTGGGGTCATGAGTATGTAAAAATTATGAGTTCAAGAGGAAGTGTTATTAGTCACCAGTTTTTCTTACTTGTGTTAGAATAATTAAGTGTATATAGTCATTTAAAGTGATGTTTTTAACAAGTGACACAAAAAAGCATTTAATACAATGTTATGTGAATCAAGCAGAGTGCCAAATACAGTCTCAGTTATATAAAATTTCACTTATATGCATAGGAAAAAACAAAGGAGATATATTAAAATATCAACTGGGTGGGTAGTGGGATTATGTGGGATTTTCTTCTTTTTCTAATCAGAAAAAAAAAAGTACGAAATTCCACTTCCTCTATGAATTCCTCTCTGAATAAGTGGGAAGTTGTTATTTCCACCATATTATCCAATTTTGATGAACAGTTCACTTTGTCCCTAATTTATCCATAAGTGTGAAACTTGTACATGATACAGATGCATTTCTGTTGTTTTTTCAGTTTAATATTAAAAAAAGAATCAGGAAGTCATTAATGAGCCCCTGTGATGTATAAAACAAGGGATTTCTTAGTTTTTTTAAAAAATTTATTTATTGAAGTATAGTTGATGTACAAGGATTTCTTAGAGTTTTAATAGTGCTAGGTAACATAAATTGAGCAATTGCTATTTGTCAGACACTCATCTAAGAGATTTACATGTACTGACTCATTTAATTCTCATAACAGCTCTTTGAAGTAAGTTATATGTTTCCCATTTCATAGATGAGGAAACTGAGGCAAATAGAGAGAAGTTAACTTTCCCTGGTGCACAGGGCTAGTAGATGGAGGAGTTGAGATCTGAAGGCTAGTTAACCACCTCCTGAGTCAGAGTCCTTAACCACAGGACTGTCCAGTGACAGACCTGATCACGGGGAATGTAGACTTGGGGTAGGAGTCCATTCTTTTTTTTTTTTTTCATTCTTATTTAATGCTTGTTCTTTTGATCTTTGACATAAGGCCTAAAAGGAAGGACTTTTTGGATTGGGTGCTTACTAAATATATAGTAATTATATTTATTTGATAATGATTACATATATTCAATAATGATAAATTATACATATTTCATTTCCATGATGAAATATATAGAGATATTTCTTCAAGGTAACTGAGATAGATTTCGTTAAAAACAAAAACCTCACAGAATTGGTTTTTTTTTTTTTTTTTGCGGTACGCAGGCCTCTCACTGTTGTGGCCTCTCCCGTTGCGGAGCACAGGCTCCGGACGTGCAGTCTCAGCGGCCATGGCTCACGGGCCCAGCTGCTCCGCGGCATGTGGGATCCTCCCGCACCGGGGCACGAACCCGTGTCCCCTGCATCGGCAGGCGGACTCTCAACCACTGCGCCACCAGGGAAGCCCCAGAATTGTTTATTGAAGCCAACTCCTAAAACTAAAAAGTGGGCCTACAGTAGGTTGAGGAATTCAAATATGCATTTTTTGCTTATGAAGCCAAAATGATTCCTGATATGCAAATAAAG